GCTGGGATGTAGGAGAATAAATTGATGTACAGGTTAGAAATTCATCTTAGTAATACATATCCCTGGCCTTTGCTGAATGTACATATGCAGGAAAATAGGATATCCTATTGCAGCATTGCTGCACTGCCATCATTTTGCAAAATAAAATTCTTAAAGTTATTTTCTCTGTCTTTTCCTCATGAACTGCTATACATATAAAAATATTCCCAAGAAATATTTCATCTAAAGTGATATGAATGAATGGGGGAACATTCCTTCACACCAGCAAGGACACTGAGTATGCATGTGTAGACAAATCTATCACAAACCCATCTTGCAAGTACATATACCACAAACCACACCACAACACAACTTGCAAGTACATGTAAAGAACTACTACACACCTACTATTAATCATCTAAGGGACATACATGTTGGACTTAAATGAATTAACATAACATACTATAAGAATGGGAAGGAGAAATAGGAAAGGTGCAAGAAACAGTGGGAAGCCCAAAGAACATTAATTACTTCCATATCACCATTTCTCCTCCCTCTCGTCCCTAAAAGATGTATAAACCAATGCGCCAGACTTCAGTATTGTGATAATAGTTTTTCTTCATAGATTTGTTACTTCAGTGCAAATGGTTACTATTTAGGGAGGATGGGAAATATCCAAATTTATCAGACCATTACCTTAATAATACTATGTTGTGCTTCAAAGATCTGGAACAATCAACTTCTATGGGAAGCAGTTAGCTTGAGCCCAGGAGCCAGGATGGACAGGTTCCTGTCACAATTGAGCTGGCAAAATTGACTCACTTGTTGAACCCAGATAACGAGATGAGAGTACACAGGCATGTCTCTATGACTGAACTAGTACCAAGGCAGTATGTGGAAATCTTAAGGATTCTGGGGTTTGCATAATGGTTAATGCTAGTTGGAGGAACCTGCTCCCACTGGAAAAAAAAACATGAATGCACACAGCATTTCTTTATCTTGTACATAAAGTTAAGGGACTGGAAACATTACATCCACACTGGCCAAAAACAATTTAGTCCAAATGCAAAACAGACCTGGCAAAGTACCATATAGAGATAGAGAAATAGATATCTCAGTAACTAGTGAGACATTTTCTCCCCTCTCAGACTGATACATTTGTGGACAGAAAATGAAGCCATACAATGTTTGTTTTCAGCAGTGGTTGAGAGAAAAAGCTTGTATCAAAATATCTATGTTGATGAAAATAAAAGACTCTAGAAATTAACCATTGTGTGGCCATTCAACATGTTGCCTATGGTTGCCTAAGGCCATTCAACATGTTGCCTGTGGTTGATTTTACATGTGTGCCCAGTTTAAGTAAAGCTTTACATTTTACACCTTATACTTACAACCCTAACCCTAACTCTTCCCAAACTGCCCTACTGGGTTTGCTTCCCAGGCTTTTCTTTCTATCTGTTATTTGAACTAGATTTTCACATCCATTCTAAATACTGAGCCATTTCATTCATAATAATAATAAAAAAAGTGCACAAATACAAAAACGTCAAAAGGTGGAGAAAAAGGAAGGGTGTGTGTGTCTCAACAGCAACTGTGGTTTCTATTAGTTGGTATCTTTATAAAATGTCACTTGATCATTGTAACTTAGTTTTCATGAATGCCAGGATTAAGTGATGTCTCCTGAAGAGAGGAAGAAGAGTGTCTCTTCTAGGCATCCAGTGGGTCTACCTGAAGAGGACTATGATCTGCCTGCTAAATTTTCTCACTAGTCTTAAAATGGAGATTAAAATGGAACTATAAGATATAAGAATAAAACAGAAAGATATTGATAATGAAATTATACAATAGCATGTAACATAAAATATCTTACCCAATATACTCCAATAAATACAACCTTGCCTAATTTTGTGCCCCCCCCAGACTGGTATAATTCCAAAGGCCATTTTTGGCATCCGATCCAGCAATGAAGACAATTATAGTCTACCTCAACTTGGAGAACATCAGATTGTGCAAGGCAACTCTCAGACACAATTAACTTTTACTTGGGTTATCTTAAAACAGAACAACACTTAACAGAACACTTTGTCGTTCTTGAATCATAATGAGGGGAAGCACTGCGCTGCAATTCTGACCATACTTTAGAACAAACTGCGCCATAACTCTTCTGAGCAGATTTCATAGCATGATTGAGAAATGTAATTCTTATCAAAATTACTGCTGGCATCACCAAAACTGCTACAATCTATGCCTTTTATTTAACAGAAAAATAGTAACAGAAAATTTGGCTCATGTAATAAAAGCTGATAGCGTGGTTTATTTCCCCATCAGCATTTCCTGATTTTCCAGACAGTCAAGCTATGAGCTTCTAGGAAAGATACTTATCTTCTGATGTTCCTGGTAAATTCAGAATGTGTATACAATGTAAATATCTCTAACCAAAAATAACATTATTAGAGATCTCATATGAGTTTGCTATTCCAACCTATACTTAAGAAATAGAAAAAAGAACATTTTTTTTTCAAAAACATGTGCCCTATATATATATATATAAAAGCCCATCTTTTATTGACTGTATAGTTTGGTGTCTAGCATTCAAAAACATGAATAACATTAATAGCTAAAAAAACCTCCAAACCCAGAAAGAAGGAAAGATCATTGATAGATTTATCCCTGCTAAAATAAGAAAAGTTATCTGAAGTAAAAGTTGTTGATTATTAGACTTGTTGATCACTTATTGGATACAGCAATGCCTTTTCCTGAACTAAGCAATGAGTTTGCTTTTTAGAACTTCCATTAAAGAATTACACCTATTTTATCACATTAGATAGTTGGTGATTACACTTCAAATCCATATTGTTCAAATTCAGTTTTCAGAATAAAGAGTTTTTTAAAAAAGAGTATAGAGAAAGGAAACAGAAGTACTTCTATCCTTTTGGTTCTGCCTTCCTTCACTGCCCAAATGGATTCCCCAACAGCCCTAAAAAAAGGCTGTGGTAAAAAAGAAATCTTCCTTTATATGTTTCCTAATGATGTAAAAATCTAAGTTGATAGCATATGGCAATTATTATTAATTGGATTACCTGGATCCGTACCAATCGGGTTTCAGGCCCGGGTACAGTATGGAGACGTTATTGGTCATGCTGGTGGATGATTTCTGAAGGGCCCGAGACAGAGGTTACTCCTTTGTCCTGGTCCTATTAGATCTCTCGGCGGCTTTCGATACCAATCGACCATGGTATCTTGTTGCGACGCCTCGAGAGGTTGGGAGTGGGAAGCACTGTTTTACGCTGGTTCTCCTCCTACCTCTCGGAACGTTCGCAGGTGGTGTTTTCTGGGGGACAGAGGTCGACCCCGAGGCCCCTCACTTGTGGGGTGCCCCAGGGGTTGGTCCTCTCTCCTCTTTTGTTCAACATCTATATGAAGCCGCTGGGTGAGATCATCCGGGGTTTTGGGGTGAGGTATCATCAGTATGCTAATGATACCCAGCTTTTTATATCCACCCCAAACCAACCCAGCGATGCCCTCGACATGATGTCCTGGTACCTGGAAGCGGTGAGGATCTGGATGGGGAGGAACAGGCTTCGGCTCAGCCCTGCCAAGACCAAGTGGCTGTGGGTACTGGCGTCTCGGTCCAATCAAGTGATTCCATCTTTGGTCATAGGGGATGAGGTGTTGCCCCCTGTGGACAGGGCGCACAACTTGGGTGTCCTCCTGGACTCGCGGCTAAACTTGGAAGATCATGTAACGGCCGTAACCAGGGAGGCATTCGCCCAGGTTCGCCTGGTGCGCCAGTTGTGCCCCTATTTGGACCTAGATGCCCTATGCACAGTTACTCATGCACTTGTCACCTCCCATATTGACTACTGCAATGCCCTCTACATGGGGCTGCCCTTGAAGACCACTCAGAGGCTTCAGCTGGTGCAGAATGCAGCCATGCAGGTTGTGATGGGAGTATCTCGACACTCCCATGTTACACCTCTCCTACGCAACTTGCATTGGTTGCCAGTTGCCCTCCGAGTAAGATTCAAGGTGCTGGTGATTACCTATAAGGCCCTATATGGCTTAGGCCCAGGATATTTGGGGGGCCATCTGCAGCCAGCAACAGCTGCCCATCGCCCGGTGCGTTTCCACAGAGAGGGCCTCCTCAGGGTGCCGTCGGCCAGACAGTGCTGGCTGGCGACCCCCAGGGGGAGAGCTTTCTCTGTGGGCGCACCTACCCTTTGGAATCAACTGCCCCTGGAGTTCCGGGTGGCCCCCGACCTATGCTCTTTCCGTCGCGACCTGAAAACGTGGCTGTTTCGCTTGGCTGGCCTGGACTGATGGGGTTTTAATTTTTAACTTGTTAGTCTTAATTGCACTTTTAATTGTTAAATTATGAGATTTGGATTTATTTTATTTTTAACTTTTTCATTAGATGTATTTTACTGTTGTGAGCCGCCCTGAGTCCGGCTGGAGATAAGACGGCATATAAATCTCAATAATAATAATAATAATAATAATAATAATAATAATAATAATAATAATGCTATGTAATACCACTATGCTGTTTATGCTGTAAAACAGATTATGTGCTAGTTAACATGCCAATTAAAGGATGTAATTCTGCTGCAGCTTGTAAAATTTAGGCTTCATCCAACGCAAATTTCCTTTTTTTAAAAAAAATGTTATCAACTGAAAAGATATATTCCTATTACATATGTAATGTTATTTGCAAAGTTTATGTAGCCCTAAAGAGTGTCTGAGATCCAAAAAAATATTTCTGGCTACTCATTCAAGTGGATATTTTCTACTCACTCCATCAAACTAATAGTTTTTGAACCATCCAAAAAGATGGGTGAGGATTTTTCATATTCATGAAAAAGCTAGTTGACAATCCTGCTTGAGATTTGAAACTGTTTGTACTTTTCCCAAGCTATTTGAAAGGTATATTCCTCATCACCTTTGGTATATATTAGGATACATATTCACAGTTATTGAAACAACAGTGTTGGTAAATATTATCAAACATCAGGGATACCTACCGTGTAGCAAGTTTATGGCAAATCACACCAGTATCTGTTATGACTTCACTTAGTCTCAATTCTAGATGGACCTTTCCCTGAAATGTAGAATTGCAAAAAATAAGACTGTAAGTATACAAGTGTGATTGGTAAAAAAATACAAAAATATAGAGATTATTGAGGGATAATATGAAATCTTACAATCCAGCATCAATCAGCCTATCAAATAAATAATGGAAGGAGGGAAATCAACAATAGGTATAGTTGCAAGACAAATAATCATGTTTTCAGTTTCAATAGTTTCAATAAAAAATGTGATTATATATGCCTCTAAATTGCTGTAAATTAAATATGTATTAAATGCTTATATATATATATATATAGGTCTTCGGTTATTCGGGTTTTCTCCCGCGTAAAATTGGAGGTTTCTTGGCAACGTTTCGACGAAGTCTCATTCGTCATCTTCAGGCTGGTGTCTTCGGCTTCGTGCTTCTAGGAGCAATGTGTGTGATCGCAGCTGTTTCTTCCTTTTAACTGCCAGTGGGGGTGTGAACTGATTGGGTGGGGGCTTGGCTGTGTTCTGATTGGGTGGAGGTGTGTTCTGATTGGTTGGGGGTTTGGCTGTGCTCTGATTGGATGCAGGGTTGGCTGTGCTCTGATTGGATGGGTGTGTGTTCTGTTTAGGTGGGGGCTTGGTTGTGCTCGGGTTAGTCTGAGTAGCAGGGGGATTTGAGCTGGTGAGCTGTGTTGCTGTTGTTTGGCTTCGTGTTCGTGGCCGTGCTACCTCTTCATGTTTCATGTATGGATTGGGGGGGTTTAAAGGGGCTAATGATGCAGCTGTGGTATGGCTTCTGGTCCGCGGTCGTGCCTCATCCTCAGTGTGGGTTTGAGTCTGCTTTCTGCGTGGATGTGTGGTGGTTACATTCTGTGTGGCTCTCGTGAGTGCGGGTCTGGTGTCATTCTTTGCGTTAGGGACTCATTTGTCAATAAGGGCGGGTTTCCAAATGGCTGGTAGGCGGGAGGTATCATCTCGTTTATTCATGCTGTGTGGACGTTTTTCTATCTCGATGGCTTCTCTGATTATTCTGTTGTTAAAGTGTTCGGTTTTGGCGATAGTTCTGGTCTTTTTAAAGTCAATATCATGTCCTGTGGCTTTGAGGTATTGGACCAGGGAAGAAGTTGGTTCCTCTTTTTTGACTGAGTTCTTGTGTTCTTCAATGCGTGCACTTATTCTTCTGTTGGTTTGTCAGATGTATGTGGTGGGGCAGGCAGTGCATGGGATTTCATATACTCCTTGATTTTCTAACTCAATTTTGTCTTTGGGGTTTCTTAAGATGGTGGATATTTTTTGGTTTGTGCAGAATGCTGTCTTGATGTGTTTGTGGAGGATCTTGCTGATTCTATCTGTGGTGCCTTTTATGTATGGGAGGAGGGCTTTGCCGTTTTCTTGTTCTCTGTCTTGGATTTTAGTGGGGGTTTCTTTTTGGATTAGGTTGGTAATCTTATTTCTTTGGAATCCATTGGATGTTAATACGTTAGTGAGAGTGTGTAGTTTGGTTTTTAGGTGTTGTTCGTCAGCTAAGCGTTTTGTTCTGGAGATGAGTGTCTTGGCTACGGAGTTGATCTGTGCTGGGTGGTGGTGTGAGAGTGCGTGCAGATAGCGGTTTGTGTGTGTTTTGAGGCACGACCGCGGACCAGAAGCCAGACCACAGCTGCATCATTAGCCCCTTTAAACCCCCCCCCCCAATCCATACATGAAGCATGAAGAGGTAGCACAGCCACGAACACGAAGCCAAACAGCAGCAACACAACTCACCAGCTCAAATCCCCCTGCTACTCAGACTAACCCGAGCACAACCAAGCCCCCACCTAAACAGAACACACACCCATCCAATCAGAGCACAGCCAACCCCCCATCCAATCAGAGCACAGCCAAACCCCCACCCAATCAGAACATACCTCCACCCAATCAGAACACAGCCAAGCCCCCACACAATCAGTTCACACCCCCACTGGCAGTTAAAAGGAAGAAACAGCTACGATCACACACATTGCTCCTAGAAGCACGAAGCCGAAGACACCAGCCTGAAGATGACGAATGAGACTTCGTCAAAATGTTGCCAAGAAACCTCCAATTTTACGCGTGAGAAAACCCGAATAACCAAAGACCTACATACAAACACCCATGAAAACCTCAGAAAACAAATATATATATATATATATATATATACATACACATACATACATATATATACTGTAAATTAATTATAAATAATTAAATATATGCCTCTAAATTGCCCGTAAAGAATTAAGAATAAATGACACTTGTATTCATGATGTCAGGAGACATCCACAATCCATACTGAGCCAATTATCATCTCAAGCAAAAAAATTAAAAATCCAGAAACAGAGCACAAAGAATAGACTTTAAAAATTGGGTTTTATATTTCCAAAAATGGAAAATAACTACAGTATGTGCTTTCTTCTTCTTCCCTGCAAATTCCCAGAGAGTGTCTGATGCAATCTAATATTGCTTCTCTGCATAACCTAGACTAGAGCCTAATCTGCATGACTAGAAATTCTCCATCCAAGAACATTATCATCTACAGACAAATTGGGGAGTTTTATCTATCTTCTCTGATGAAAAACTTCTTGGAAATTTTCCCCTAAGATTAAGTACATAGTGTACACTGTGAGAGCAATTCCTAAAGGTAGTTTATCTCAGAGAAATGGATAGCATATTTTCTCTGTTTTTCAGTCTGGAAAAAACGTCTATTTGGTTACCTATAAAAGAATTTTCGCAACTTCCATCCCTGTATGTGATGAAACAGTATCGCATATGAGTTTACTGTTGATTTAGCAAAATCCTTTGTGAGACCTGACAGGAATATAAACTGCAGCATGAAAATGTCAAGCACTAGGGGAAAACTATGAAACTAGCCATAGAAATTAATTTTCAAAAGCCTACTGACAGTCATCAGGCATGAGACATGATGGTACAGAATATTAAAAAGCACTTTTTTCAAAACACCTTCCTTTTCAAAACAAGAAAAGGGAAGTACTATTATTACTCAGATATAACAATTATAAATAGGCCTGCATTCAAGATTTTAAACGGCTGGGCTAAACAGATTTCAGTTTTAGTAGATTTTAGATGCATTTTTTTTCCCTCCAAAAGTCACAAGCAGCCAGCAACACCTAGCTGACTTTGGCTGATCTTAAAAAAGCTAAACTGGGTCAAACATAGTTAGGAAGTGGGTCAGAAATTACTGTACTAGGAAATCCCAAGACACGTAAATTGAAAAACAAATATTTTGGAAGCAGACGGTAATCAACAATTTGGAATACAACATGGATACAACCATCCAGTCAATGGGACACAAGTTTTATTCAAGTATGACTTTACTTATTTTTTCAAAACAGGTAGCCTTTAAAAAAAATTAAAATTTCTCAAAATAATAAATACAAGTCCAGACATATGTGAAAAGGGAGTGGGGATTTAATGGATTTTCTATGGGATTATAGTCTTGTAAACTGCATGGAATCACTGTGAGTTGAGCCACATACATTTTGTTAATAAATAAATAAAATAAATAAATAAATAAGATATTGCTAATTATAAATATTATCTGTTAATAAAGAAAAGCATAAACTTTTCTCCTTGTGCAGAAATATCTGAAGGATTGCCAAAAAAGTAAAGATGGTAACTTCAATAGGACAATAGAAGTTCCGTCAAGTTTTTAGGTGCCTCACAGCTGCCATCTTGAGTTTGACAATCTCCTCTGGACATCCCTTGTATAATAGATGTAATTACAAGGAAGATAAGGAGGATAAATGTAATGCTTTCCAATCTCTAGTCAGTCTCTATGGGGGAGGGGGGATAGAAGGGCAGCATTTTTCACCAGTGGCCTTTTTTGTGAAGACTGTCTGCAGGTAGTCCTCAGTTATGACCGTAATTGGGACCAGAATTTCCCTCATTAAGCAAAATAGTCTTTAGGTAAGCATTTCATGATTGCACTACTTAAGAGATGGGCAGATGGATTGAGTTCAAGTACAGGGGTGGGTTCTAAAAAATTTTACTACCGGTTCTGTGGGCGTGGATTATTTTGTGGGCATGGCTTGATGGTCATGTGATAATTCTTTAGGATTTAGCAGAGGTACTGGTCTACCAGGCTTTTAACTGCTTGCAGAGCTGTCTACTCATTTGTTTTTGCAGGCACTGGTCTACCCATTTATTTTTGCAGTCTACTCATTTGTTTTCTTTTAACACTGATCAACTGTAGGGCGGCCCTTTGAAGCCCCGCAGCAAGAGTTTAAACAGTTTTTTCCCCTCTAGCCAATCAGTTGGGACTCAGGAGGCAGCAATAGATTGGGGGTGGGGCCAAATAAAAGATAAGAATAATGCAGGGGGGGCGGGGGAGCAGAACCGGTTTGGTGACGTCATATCGTCACTGCTACCGGCTTGGCGGAACCGGGAGGAACCCACCACTGCTCAAATTCATGCTGAAGTTGTAAATGTGGGTGGGCTGCCAAGAGTCCAAATTTTGATTACATGATGATGGGGATACCGCAATGGCTGTAACTTTGAGGAACAACCTACATAACTATTCCTTTTCCTTCTTCCCTATGTACACCTGCCATACAAGAATAATGCAAGAATAATATTTGGAGACAGGATTCAACTTTAACATAATTTCAATCTTTCTGCTTCTGTCCAATACAGACTGCTAGCAATGCCATGGTGGAGATGACAATTGCAAACAATTACTCAGGCATTTCAAGGGGTCAAAACATCATTACACTTTTTAAAAGTAATCTACACTATAACCATCTGAGATGGACATTGTAGAGATATCACTTTCAAAAACATGTCATTTTCCCATGTGTCCATTTCTAGAATGAAAGAAGAACAGGAAATGCAATTGGAGCCTTGCTTTTGGTTGTGCACATCATTATTGCAGGGTGAAATACTGCAGGATTCCATTTTAATTCCAGAACATGCCAAGTAATCTGGGTTTTGTGGTTTTCTGAGAATCAAGTTTCCAGAACAATTGTAATTTGTAGTGTTCTGGAAGTGGCCTAACCCTAAAACAGCCAA